TTCTTCAGGCTACCAAAGGCCAGATCAGCAAAGTGTTCTCAGCCATGCTTGCTATACACCCGGACAAACCAGGTAAAGAAGATAATGCTTTTCAGACAGTTTGAACAAAGTGACTATGAACTGTATTTTAATAGTGACTTTGTGATTCTCCCTCTTTAAGCCTTGTGGATCATGGCAGCCAAGAGTGAGCTGGAGGACAGAAGTTCCTCAGAAAGTGCCAGACACTTGTTTCTGAGGGCTCTGCGCTTCCATCCAAACAACAAGAAAGTCTACCAGGAGGTACAATAAAATATATACTTGTTTCGTCTTATATCCAACACTATCACTTCCGCTGTAATGAAACCTGAGGAACTTACTTATCTAGTTTACTTCTACAAAGTTTAGTGAAAGGAGCCGTAGCTGTGGTTGAAAGAGGGATGATTGGGTATTTGTCAAATATTATTTTCTAATTGTATCCAACAACTTCTTTATTAGTACTTCCGTATGGAGCTGCTGCATTGTGAGAAACTGAGGAAGCAGAAGAACGACCTGGAGACAGCTAAGATGGACCTGGTGAGTGTTTCAAAATTCACCAAAAAATAAAATAATACACACAGAAGCTCTTACTGTTTTCAATGCCTGAATACTCTGCTTCTCACTTCTTTCAGGGGGAATATGAGTTTTCTCCAGAGATTCTGAGTGGGAAACTGGCTGAGGTTGTGTATAGAGATGCTACAGGGAAAATCAAAGGTAGGATTTTTCTAAAATAATCTCTGATTCTGTTCCAAAACAAAACCACCATAACATTGTACATTTCATATTTAATTTTATTAAAACATTTAGTATATTTATATTTTGAGTAAGAAAATTATGCATTAGACATAAACTTTGTCAAAATATTTGTGTACGTCACTTTTTTCACTTGGCAAAGATTATACACATAATCCCTTGTATAACCACAATCTAATTTGTTCACACATTGTTTCCCCCAACATCACTCATTATGCTAAACTATGCTAACTGGCGGTGGCCACTAGCGTCACAGTGATGATACAGACTGGAAAGTAGTGTCAATCTATACATCCAACTTGCTGTAAAAAAGTTATTCTAAAAATGTCCAATCTCCGTTCATCAACAGAAATGGCCAGATTGAGACATCTAACCTTTGAACCACTGCTCTTTTTGTCCAACAGAAGCAGAGTTTGTCATTTCACTTCTGAACATAGCAGCTATCTTTGACTTCACCAAAGAACTCCAGGACTTCATCTTGCAAGAGTAAGGCAGCAGCTCACTCAGCCACACAGCATTCATGAACTCAAACAGGACTTCATCCCTAAGCATGAATGTACCTGCTCCCCTCCTCTTGTATTGCAGCTTACAGGATAACTACACAGAAGACAGCTTGACGTGGGACTTCATGGCTAAGAGGGAGCTGGAGGCCCCGGGGGCCGGGGAGGAGCTGCACACCGCCAAGGGCCGCGCCTCGGATATCAACCGCAGAGAGGAGCGCTGCTGCCAGGTGTATGAGGAGGGGGTCAAGAGCCTCAACACCGGTAGGTCATACATCCACAGTGAGCAAGTAGACATAACTGGGATATTTTTTCAAAGGCAAATGTTGGATTGAGGTTTGGTTCATAGTTTTGATCAATGTATTACTTCAGGGGCCTGTGGGGTTTAACAAGTATAAAAATCGCCTATGGATATTTCAATTGAAGTTTTATTTAGAAAAGAAGAAAATCTTATCCAGGCAGCCTGAAAGTTTCAAACAACCTTAAACTGCCTTTCTGAAATCTATGCTGCATTAATGCCCTGCTTGCATATACCCTGCCAACTCAATGTGTCTATATAAGAAACCCTTGCTGTGCTCCGTGTCTAGAGCCCATGTGGACTTGCTATGTGGCCTTCTGCTGGGAGAGGCTGAAGAGAAAGACCAACGTCCAAGAGCTGAAGGAAAAGGTAAGTGCGTTTACACTGAAAGATGTCAGTGGATATAGTATTTTTATAGGTGGCTGTTCAAGGGGTAAATCCTGATGTGCATCTATGTATTTGTGTGTAACAGAGGAATGAGAGGCAGCTGGGAGTGCTGCAGCGTGCGCACGACTCCTCACTGCTGAAGGAGGAGTTTTACACCACCTGGGTAAGATAATGACTTAATTAAATCTGTTAATGGATTTACAGTCTCCCTTAATTGGAACACTGATCAAATGTCTGTTGACAAAAGCATTAGTGTAGCTTGATTGGCGTTGTGAGAACAGTGCTATTTAAGCATATGGGGAGGCCAATAATGGTTTTGATTGATGGTCGGTTTCAGGCCATTTCCAAATGCACTTCATAAGGCGTGAACATGTCAAAGTACAAAGGGTTCATGTGTGCCTGGCAAGAGGACCAGAACAGGGTAAATAGGGAATGTGATGTTGGCCTTTCGGGTTAAAGCCAAGGTTGTTTCTATAAGTGAAAAATAACTTGTATCCACTCCAAATTACTAGTTAATTGGTATTCATTCATTAATGACTGTATTAAGTATTTATTTACCTTTTTAGATACAAAGCTTAAATAAAAAAAGAGGAGACGGAGATCTAATTGTGATTTACATTTCTTTTATTTCAATATAAAGTTGAAGATCCTGCTCTCATCTGGAGATGATGAGGGAGCGGCCAGCATTGCCATGGCTGCCACGCAGCGCTACAGCAAATCAGTGTCAGTGTGGAGCCTGAGTCTGCGGACGCTCATGCAACTGGGGAGTGGAGACGTGGGCAGGCTATTCCAGGAGGCTCTCACACACATCAATCCCAAGGTGCACATAACACACACTCTTTTACTCTACATAATTGTTCCTCTATCACATCCAGTTTAGTCATGTTGTTTGCTTACATTAAGCACATTCACCACATCAGTTGTGCTCCTACTGCACTATAATAATTGCTCTCATCACACACACACACACACACACACACACACACACACACACACACACACACACACACAGCTGTATAAGTGGGTCATCTCCTTGGCCCAATTAGGATCTATTTTAATATGTCAAAGTTATTAAATAGGCTTCAGCTGCCTCCTTCCATATGTGAGGATAGCTGACGGTGTGTGAAAACTACTAAAATTAGACACACGAAACGATAGATTTTTTAGAATTGTAAGCTTTGGTGGGATCGTGAACTAATCATTAAAAAATCCCCTGCAGCACATCAGATATTTGGGCCTAATCATAATTGTTCGCTTGTTCATTAAAATAAACACTATTTGCCTTGTTTTTGTGTTACACTGACACCATAAATGTATAATGCTGTATGTCTATGAATATACATGCTTCGTCTCAGCCTTTACAGAAATAAGCAGAATAGCTGGTTATTGTTGTGGTGGCTGTTTCACAAGACTAGCAGTGTGAGGAGGATTACTACACTCATTAGGCCTTTTCCCTCAAGAGAAACACTCTCCTTAAGTGGGGGGAAATGGTGTAAACCCTCAGAGAATGTCAAACAATAAAATGTTTCCATGTTTCACAGCAAAGAAGGCGAGCTTAGTAAAAAAAGATGACGTAAAGGCACGTTGACATGTTGGGGGAACCAGCTGAGAACAAAGAGGGGATTTGTACATGCTACACTAGGTTACTGACTAGTTTTCGCTCCATATAATTGGAAGAACCCGTTCTTAAGTCTTGAAGCCTTAGTTTGATCTAAGCTTGGCAAGTTTAGGTATATTTGCTAAGTTTAGGATAGGATGGAGATATCATAACCACTAACCACTGCTCAATGCTACAGAAAGCAACACTGACAGTGTGCTGATTAGAAACCAACTGATGGCTAAATCCTTTCCGTTTTGTCTCGACAGGAGAGTCTTCCTCTCTGGCAGCTGCAGGTCCAGTGGAGTGTGGCCAACCAGAGTCCTGAGGAGACAGAAGCTGTCTTTAAGGTAGTCCATATTAACACACCTGATTCTCTTTGAAACTAACTGCTGCTGCTCCTCAGCATTAGCAGGTATGTATCTTTTCAGTGATAACTAACAGGTTGTAAACTTTTAGCACAGATTTACGGGTATTTGTTTGCCCTGTAACAACGCTTTTGGCTTTGGTGGAAAAGCAGGCATAGTAATTATTTTGGTAGTTATGGAATATGTTGTACACAGATATACTGAAGTCAGAAAAAGCAGGTTATTTTCTGGATAATACCGGCAGGTGAATACTTAAAAGATGAAATGGAATCGATGAATAGCCCCTTTCATCTGCAGTGTTTTGGCCTCCGAAATGAGGATGCCTTGCAGACAGTTTGTTCTGTGTTTGTTCCCAGAGAGGTCAGCTGTCTGCAGTACCGGCTGTTTCCATGGAGATGAAAGAGAGCTACCTAGATTGGTCATTCTCCACCGGAGGCTACAAGAAAGCAAGGAAGGCCTTTACAAGGTAAAAACATTTCACTTTGTCTGCTGCTGTTTAATCTAAATGATGAATAACATGAAAGGGAATTTAATCAGTCCCAAAACACTGGTGTGAATACAAAATAAAGTCTGGAGAAGTGTTTCCTGTAACAAAGCTGTACATTTTAAATTAAGAAATCTTTTATTTTCTTCTGCAGCTTACAGGAAAATCGTCCCTTGTCCAAGGCCTTTTTCACCACAATGATTAATATTGAGAAGGAACAAGTGAGTATAGAAACTACTTTTTGTAACGTGTAAAATCTCCTGCATAACCTGCACCTCAATCTTTAGGTCTGAGGTGGAGAACAGATCATGTGACAATAAGCGGAAGTTCGATTTACAAATTGTTACAGAAGACTTTGAACAAAAACCAAGAAATTGTGGGGACAGTTATTTGGTGAACTTGATATCATTTGTACTACCAATAAACTTAGACAAGAGCTGAAAAGTCTTGAGCTGTAAATGTTGTTTGTTCTTCCAGGAAACTCCAAAGATGAACTTTCTGAGAGACTACTTTGAGAGGGCCCTGCAGGAGTTTGGTACCTCAGATGATGGTGAGCAGAGTTTAAATTCCTCAAAGTAACTAGAGACAAACGGAAGAGTAATGTTTGTTTAAAATATTTATTCACAAAATCCTGGTAATCAAGTATAGAGGACTAAAATATAACAAGACGTGTGTCAATGCCAAATACAGTATTAGTTATATGACCAGATAGAGTGGAGGAAATAAGTATTTGATCCCTTATATTATGTACATTTCTGGATTTTCTTTTTGATATTCTTACCCTCACTGTTAAAATAAATCTACCATTAAAATGATAGACTGTTCATTTCTTTGTAAGTGGGCAAACTTACAAAATCTGCAAGGGATCAAATGCTTATTTCCTCCACTGTAGCTGGTATCTGTTCACAAAATACATTTAAAATAAAATCTTAGACTTGAAAATGTATCTGTGGCTGGATCCCAAACACACTTTTAATCTGGTTTCAAGGCCAAAGGAAACCTTTTTAATTGGGATAAATGAAAAAAGCCTTGTTGGGTGTCAGATTGTTTTATTTTCCTGGCACTATCTTTCCTTAAAAATGTTTTGTTGTTTGTATTTCTCTGAAGATCTGTGGCTGCAGTACATCCAGGAGGAAATGGGAACCTTTGGTCAGCCAGAGAACAGTGGCAAGATCCACTGGAGAGCCATGAAGTTCCTGGAGGGGGAGAGCGTGGAGAGGTTCACCTGCAGGTTTACTCTGATGCAGACTGGACACTTATGAGTCACCTAAAAAGGTCCAAGTAGTGTCGTAAGTTCCCATAGCAACAGCCAGTGTTCAACAATTGTGTAGAAGTTTATCAGCAGGGTCATGGTTGGTGCTATGACCATCTATGAGTTGTTTCATTGCCTTCAGGCCTGTTGAATATTCTTCAATTGTTCCAGCATTGTTGGGTAAAATGTTCTTGAAAGGGCAGTTGTATTTTAAAACTTTCCATTTATGACAGTTTGTTACCACATTTGATATCATACTGATGTTGGTAGCATGTAATATGGTAAGGATGTCCAGTTTTATAGAGTTCCACATTTATTTGAAATGTTGTGATGCCAACTTTGATGCTGTTATGATATTAAAACAGTCTTTCAATATGTCCTGGTCCCTCTGAGACATTACACATGTACACAGATAAACACACTTTCTCTAAACTATGGATTCACACAGCAGTAGTTTTTATGACCCACCACTTCTTCAAATAGTTATCTTGGCAGGAATAGTTGGTTAATTAAGTTACTATGACAAAACATCCTTTATCTTCTTAAATTCACAAATGTAACCAGTAGGTGCAGTCGGTACCAAGAATATATTTCAAACTCCAACCCGAAAAAAACAAATACAAGCAGTAGCACTTTGAGATATCCATCACTGCTATACAATAATTCAATGGCCAGCTACAAGAACTGTCCATAGATATATATTTATAGCTACTTTTTAAGGACACTTCAAATTGTCGCATATCCCTGCAGAGGCACCCTCAGTAATGTTTAAGCTAGGAGGTATAACATGACAAATGTAGGATTTAGAGTCTAATAGTGTAGATAATACACCTATAAAATTGTATCGCAAAGGGATTTTAGGATGCAATTTCTTTCATTGGACAATCTCAGACAAATGAAATATCTTTACAGGCTTGGTAAAAGTTATCACAAAACGTACTCAATAATAGTCTAACTATTGAAATATGTTTATAGCAGAACTATGATGACAGTTAAGTAAAATATCAATAAACAATTTAGTTTAAATTCAACACTATTAAAGAACCTCTGCACTCCGACACTAGTTCCTCCTGTTATCTCGGTCAGTCCTTGAGAATATTAGTGCAAACTTAACAAATAATATCGTTACACTTAAAACAATGTGCTTTAAGGCAGAAGTTATGGCTAATTATTATTTTCATTAATGTTCCCTTTTGAAAAGTTGTGAATCACGATGTTGAGGCATTTCCTAGACACCTACAGACGTATTCTCTATTTAATTGGATTATGAATAACTTTTTGAGGTGTTTTTTCCCATCATGGGACACTATCTGAATAAAGACAGTGTGCCCATGTAGATGTACCCAATGTGTACAAATCCCTCATTAAATGTCTGGTCAATGTTCTCAACCACACTGAACCCTAATGCCTGAATCTGGTCAGTCCACCCCTTCACACATCATCAGAGCTTCTTGAAAAAGACGTAAGTAAAGAGTACCAATACGCCTGTGGACAGAAGTCCAATCACACACTGGTGGATGGTGATGATGTCCTCCAGGGCGTGGATGCGCTCCTCCATGGCGTTGGTGTGAATGTAGTCATAAATGGAGGCCCCGATGCTCCAAATCCCCCATACAGCATCTACCAACGCTTTCATGGTGGGAGAAACCATCGTGAGGGGCGCCCGCATACGCCACCTGTCGGCACCACTGCACTGCATGGAGAGTGAGGAGAGAGCACTGTGTGGGCACACTAATATCCACCAAAATGCACATCAAACATGAACAGACCATGTGATCCTGAGTGACTCCATCCGAGAAGATTATAAAAAATAGTTAAAAAAAGAGACCGTGTGAAGAGTTAAACTTCTGATCAACAAGCCATCTTTACACCAATGCACTCTTTTTCTAAGATGCGTTAAAGAAACATTTGTTGAATTATTCAACTTGTAATCAAGGTGAGTGTTTCTCTTTGATGCTTTTTAAAGTTCTACTTCACTAAATTGCAGAGGCACATATTGCACTTTTTATTCCACTTATATATATCTGCACATGTGAATTTAATTTAAAAAGAGTATTCTGGGTATAAAATAAGAGAGAGAGATAGGATAGTACTTTATTGATCCCAATTTTGGACATTGTTGTGTTGCAGGAGCATAAAGACATGGCATTGTGAAATACAAATTAAAAGACTAGAAATAAACAAGAAAGTAGAAAATATACATGTTGAATTTACAAATTAACAAGATATAAAGCAAGTTATTATATTCACATAAGTATGTGAGAGATGGCATATTAAATATTAAACTGAATATATGTATGTAAAATGTACAGTGATTTTAAGAGAAAGAGAAACTACTATACATTAGAACTTTCCCAGGCTATAAAGTAAATATGCTTCAAGTTGTTGCACTAATATTCAATAAGTATAGATTTAACACTGAAAGCGGGAATTCTCTATAATTTCAGTGCGTTATGTTGACAGTAAAACAAACAAGATTGATTGCTTGTAATGTGTGGTCTTTATCTGCTTTAGCAACAGAGGCACAACTTGCAGTGTCTTAAACACAAAGGGGTCTTTACATAAGTCTATCTCTGCACCAGTAAACTGACTATTGGTCCAGTACTAAACTAGTTTCACGTGATCTGACATGAGATTAGAACATATAACAAGACGAGGATTGTGTATAGCCTGTATGCGATGTCATTCATTTACAGAGAGCGACCATAGACTGAGACTCACCGCCGGGTGTCAGATGCTAATGTGATGGTGAAGACGATGAAGAACATCCGCCCTGCTGCTGCCGGAGTGATGACACGATGCGATGTTTAGGAGAAGCCGGGTGTGTTCCTGTCAGGTCGCCTCCAGAGTCGGACATTGCCGTTTGACGTCGAATCAAACACTTCGCTTCCGGTCAAACCTTTTAAAATACGATTCATCTATTTCCCAAGCAGTTACACAATATATTAGTGACAAAATGTGCCCAAATGCATATAAAAAGAACACGAAAAAAGGAGTGTGACGGAAAAAAAGGTTACATCTGCAACTCGGGTAAATAATTCAGGACAAAAGTTGCAGGTCTTTCTTTTATTTTGGTAGGACAACAACCAATTTCCGGTATTATTGTGGGCTTGTCTAAATTAAGCAGCTGACTCAAACCATTAACCATATGATAGCGTAGGTAACCAACTAAAAGTGAAGCATGACACCGAGAAACACAATTATATTGTAATAGAATGCAACATGTAAAAAGTATGATAACAAAAATACTAAAAACAATGAGATAGAAAATGCTACTACAAATCAGAGATAAATTGTGTACTTTTACTCTACTATATTTATTTAATATCTTTGGTTACATGCAGATTTGGATTAATGAGGTGAAATATAAAAACACTTAACGAAGACTTTAGTCACAGCTAAAGTACATTTACAACCCTGCAGTATATAACGTCTTTAAAACTAGCTGCCCCTTTACCAGCACTGATAAACACATTATTTCATCAATAATTATAATCAAAACATAATATAAATGGGCCAATCTGCATAATGAGTACGTATAAGTACATTGAGATGCCACTATTGTAGGCTACTTTAATTGAGTAACATTTTTGAATGAAGGACTTTCCCTTGTTCTAGACTGCACTTCCACTTTTATTTAAGTAGCCTACAAGACCTGAGTACTTCTACTTTATTTAAGTACAAGATCTGATTACTTCTACTTTTATTTAAGTACAATATCTGACTTGCTTTTCACACGTCTGAAGCAATGTAAAACGGACTAATGTGAACAAATATTATAGCAAAATTACAATAATGTTTTTATAGAAAACAAGTCCATTCATAACATAAGCAGGATATAATTGTTCCTGTCTTATACATGTGATGAACTCACCGAGTGTTCAAAAATGATTCAACTGTCACGCTGTTTTACGTGACAACACTCACGTGAATAAAATTGTGAGTGTCACATGCATGTAATGAAGTGTCATGGCGCTTTCCTACCGGCAGGGGTCGCAGCCCACTAACATGTTGTCGATTCAGGGAGGTAACGTGAGAGGTGTGATGAACCTGGGATGTTTAAAGCCTCCTGAAGCATAGATAAAAGAGGGGAACACCTCGAGAGAGGCGCAGAGGAGCCGCCGGAGACGCAGCTTAGCGCGGCAGAGACCTGCATGAGGACGGGCGAGCCAACACACCGCAGGAATGTGTGCCGTTACAGCCAAACGCATGCTTGGACAATACTCAGTGTATTGCTCTTGGCTGTTCTAAAAGTCCTCTTGCAAAATAATTGGAAATTCGGGGCCACATTGCTGCTCCCCGACGGGAACCTATAACTGGAGAGGAGCCAGTGACGCGCTGAAAATAACCAGGTTACCACTTTTCACCGGTCCATTTTGGGGAGGGCCCAACACGAGGGCGCAGCACCATATATCAGCTCCTTCCAGCTGTTTGGGAATATCCTGCTCATAAAAGCCAGGCTGCAGCATGGCAGTACCAACAGCAGGGTCCTTTCTCTCTCCGCGGCTGTCTCTTCCCAGTATGGATATTGGGTGCCTTGCTGGGTGCGCACCGGGGATCTCTCGGGGGGGAATCGAAGAAGATTTTTTTTTTGTATTAAGAGGGGGGGGGGGGGGGGGGTGAGTGAGGGGTAGACTGGTACAGGCGCGACACTGTTGCATGTTTTTTCACCCCTGACAGAGAGGAAAATATAGGCCGGGGGGGGGGGACTGTCCGACTGCTTCTGAAAGACAATGTGTTCCCCCCCACGCCTCAAAAGGATAATCTTGCTCAATCTGGGATGCATGCAACACCCAGTGATCATATATTGCTGGGGTGGTGCTGGAGCTGGCGGTGGATGGACGGTGAAGTTAAACTTCTATTGCAGACGCGATCTCCTTCAATCAGCCAGAAAACCAACCAGACAGGCGGCGCTTTTTACGCAAAGTCCCCATATGGCTGCGGGATGCTGACACCTGCACGGATCGCAGGTAACAACAACCGGACAGCATCGCCTGCTCCTGGAGACACTGACAGATCCATTGGTATGTATCGGCACGGGAACGATGCTTAATGACCCTACTATTATAACACCCGCATTCCTTTATTACCTCGTCTGGAAGTCAAATTTGGTGGTAGGATATTTAAGACATTTCCAGAATCCATAGATAAACCTTTGTAGTTTCCTCTACGCCGAGTCCCCAGTGATGGGACTGATGATGACCATGACGATGATGGTGTGAGTTAGATGCTGGGTCTTTGCGGGCAAGGTGAGTCCTCACTTCGTTCAACTGGCCTACAAAGTCCCAGTTTCTGGCTCATGTAACCAGCAAGTCATTGAAAATTCACTTCTGCTTCGTATTAGGAAAATAAATAGGGAACAGATGGGAAGTCTTACGGATAATATAAAAAGGTTTTTTTTAAAAGCACACGCACATCTCAGCAGATAAAGTCTCACCAAAAACGCTCGATAAGGTCAGTAAACACACGATTTAATAACTGCTCTATATTTTGTCGGGAATAATATGGCGATACTATCAAAGAACAAAAGGTACAATAATAGTACAATAGGTCATCATGAAGCCACTAATACATGGGCAACCATAAGACCCATTAAAGAGAGCATAGTATACGAAAATATCTCTTAATGTCTTAAATATATGAAAAAAGCTTCAGGCAGTTAACTAATCAAAGAATATAGGAGCAAAAGAGCATTGCATTTGCAAACAGCTGCAGATACTTAACCCAATGAAATGTAGCCTACATGAAATATTTACTTTTTAATAGCTCAGAGTCAAATGGTGAATGACAATGCTTACTAATCGGCGTAACCTTTAATAAGTAGAAGTTGAACTGTACAGCCTTGTGCAAGAAGCATGCTTCTTCAAAGTCACAAAAACCAGAGGGTGTTTCTATTTGATGCTTACAATGAACAACTTTCACATGACACTTATCTAGAAAGAAAAAAAACGGCCCTGCATTTCTCAGCTGACCTTGTTCTGCTGCACCGTTTCTGATTTGTTTTCCTTTTTCATATTTTTTTCAGGCTTTATTCTTCAGCCCAGACATAAATTGAATAGAAATGAGATTAGAAAGAAACCCAAAAAATACAATAAGTTATTGAATTAATCCATCTTCAAAGAGCGCCAAATACAAAACAAATTGGTTACGTTACAGGTAAATTACCCCATTTGAATTTAGTTTAATATAAAGTTTAACCATTTATATTGAAGCTTACAGCTCAAACTTTACACAAACCGCTTGAAATTGATAAAAACACAACTCCATTATGTAGAACACATGTGTCAAGTGGGGAAGAGGTTGTTTTGGAGGCCTGTTTCTATATCTGTCCTGACTCTAGCATGCCACACATACCTCACTAATGAATTTAGCATCCTGACACTAGATGCTTTATGTAATTAATAGAGCAGAGAGCCAGGGTGGCATCTTCATGCTGCAAGTGACACATAGGTAAGACATTCGCTGAAGCATGAGGTTTTTATTTTAAAAACAGGAGACCTCCGTGATTATTACTACGCACCTTAAACAGTCCTGTAAATGAAAAAGACTCCCTTGGCCTCACGGTAGGTGGGAAGTGGTTACATTAATCTTTCCGTCAGTTGTATTTATTAAAACGTTAAAGCCTGATCATAAGTTATTTGGAGGCTGTGTATAACTGATCAGTGGCAGCGTGTTCGTTTTTTACAGACCTGCTACCTTTTGTTACTTCTGTAAGAACACTTTGTCGTAACCCCTTAAGTTTTAATTACCAATTTAATTATTATGATTGTATAGGCGATATCACACTGCTATCTAACATTACATGTAGAGCATTTTTTAAACATGAAAAACATATCCTATATCATAAATGTACTTAAATCAAAAATAGAGAATAGATGAAAATATTTTCACCTCAGATCGAGATCATCACTGATTCCCTCAAACGTAGCCCACTACTATGACACATCACAGAAAGCAGATAAAGGCACTCCAGCCAAAAGTTCTCCATATATGCTGCAGGAGAGTACGAGCCAGTGTGAGTATGAGAGCTGAGGGCCTAGTAAGGGAGGCTTGGAGGAATGAGCCTGGTTTGAATAAGCGTGGCTACGGGGAGCTCTGGGATAGTCACCAAGTGTGCTGATTATAGTTGTGATATTAAACAGTGCTGGCTGCTACTGCCTGCCAAGCCTCTCTCAGTGGCATTTCATGTTGTTTAAAAGGCCCAATCGGACTCATCTCCCCACTTACTGCACAGTTGCTTACATTTTTTTTCCCTACCATGGCTGTCTCATATTCTCTCCTCATGCAATTTGTAAGCACTAAGCAGAGTTGTGGACTTACTTTAAATAGACTTTACCTACATTTTCCTCAAGGTTGTTTTCTGCTCTGGGTTCACTTAGTTCTCCATTACTACATGTGTTATTGTGAGCATCATATAGACAACTCTGCTAAGGTAAAAGCTTCTCATTGTGTTTACCTTCTCTGCTAAAGCTCAACTTCTAATGAACACATGGCGAGCTCCTTCTCGGAAATTCTGCTCTGAACTCATTCAACCCCCTTTAAAAACGTCACTGCAAATCCCAATAAAACTCTGCTATTATAAATATACAATTCATAAATACTGGGAGGCGTGCTGGCTTTTTATGAAATATATGTCCTGGACCCCCTTAAAAAGGTCAAACTTCAGACATTGCGGTCACTCCTGGTTGTTTAATTTCTTCAGCCACGATTGAACAGATACCAAAGTTATGCACCAAATCGCACTCGAGGAGCCAGCGAATGTTGTAGTTTGATCTCAAAAGTCTGGAATGAGACATAGAACGATTATGCTAGAAAGGGAGGGAGGGAGAGAGAAAAAGGCAGCAAGAAAAGTGA